GTAGTAGTAGTAGTAGAAGTAGTAGTAGTAGTCGTCGTGGTGGTGGTGGTGGTCCACAAGACCTTTCCACATGGGTGTCCGACCAGAGTGTCCTACAGGCGTGTCCTACAAGAGGTCCCACAACAGTGTCCCGCAAGAATGTCCGACAAGAGTGTGCCGTAAGAGTGCCTCACAAGAGTGTCATACAAGAGCGTCCCGCAAGAGTGCACGACAAGAGCGTCCCACAAGAGTGTCCCTCAGAAGTGGCAACTTGTAGTACACATGTAATGTGGGAAGCAGTTCCTGCAAGCTGTGGCCTCAGGACAGGCCACTTGGTAGTACAAATGTAGCGCGGAAGCGGCGCCTCAGAACTGGCAACTTTAGCTGTGGCCTCAGAACTGGCCACTTGGTACTACAAACAAATGTGGTACGGGAAGCAGCTTGTGGGAGCTGCAGCCTCAGAACTGTCAACTTATGTGGCCTAATTACATCTGAGTACGTGAGTGTCGTACGCGAGTGTCCCACAAGAGTGTTGCACAAGAGTCCACAAGAGTGTCCTACACGAGTGTCGTGCAAGAGTGTCCCACAGAGTGACGAAAGTGTCGCACGAGAGTGTCCCACAAGAGCGTTCTACAAGAGTGTCTCCTACAAGAGTGTCAAAAAATGTTTGGGCGTTTGTTTCCGAGTACGTGTTTTCATTCGGGCTCGTGGGCTCCAATCTCTTTCAAAAAGAAGAGCCGCCCAACCCAAAGTGCTAAGATGTTGGACCATTTCGACGTCAAAAATTGGAACGTTTGGTCCATGATTCCTTCCGAAATGTTTGTTTGGCCGGTTCGACCTGGCTTCCTGCCCGACGGCAGTGCCAGTGCCAGTTGAACACCTAAAGAAGTACCCGATGTTCAACCCACCTTGCAAACAAACGGTACCAGATGTTCAATACCTTTGGATACCTTTGGAGGGAGTTATTATGATTTATTCATCAGCTGAGCTAAGTTTTTTGATATGAAATGGTTCATGCAAGATGCAACCTTCAAAAGGCTAGTGTAAACAACCTGCTTGGGGACGTAGGCGGTCGTAGGCATTTTCTTGCGTAATGTTTGTCGTAGGCGCTTGCCGCAGGCGACCGAAATAGCATGCCTTGAAGTCACCCAGCTTGTGTTTCTGATTCAAATTATACTTGACATTGTTTTTTTGTGTCAGTTTTTTGTAGCAGATGTGTTTCATCTCACAGTCCGGGACATGAACCAGGGGCAGTTTGCAAGGGCACTTACAATGACAGCTGCTGTCAACATTACTTGATTTTAAACCCAGCGCCGCGTTTGCCGCCAGATCTTCCCTTTGAGCTCTTTGCTCTTGACTTTGCATCGGCTCCTGCAGAACCGTCCGCGGCCGGGCGCGCGGCAGGCGCGGGACTTGAATTGGACGGCTAGAAACGTGGAGGTGACAAACAACTTCCAGTCGGAGGGTAAGGCTTTCCTGGACGTAGGGGAATTAGAGGTTTAACTCTTCAGTTTGCTTGGTTTCTCTTCGGCCTGTTTGATTTGAAAAGCAGGACGAGTGGACCGTGGACGTTCAGCATGGCGTTCATCAAGAGACATGACCTCCGGAGACACGGGCCATGTCATGGGACCCGGGCCATGGGCCATGGGACCCTGTCAGTCCTGCCTCAGCACTCAGTCTGGAGGTGCCATGTCATGCATACCATGTCAGTCAGCTGAAATGGTAAAACCCACACATTGGATTGAAGAGAAAACCATGAATACCATGAAGAAAACTGTCATGCATACCATGAGTGATTGAAGAGAAAACCCTGGAGTTGTAACCATAACCAAATGAATCCAACAAACAGAATCACATGGTTCTCCATACATCTCACATATCTCCCTAACATCTCTGAATCGGATTGTTCTCCATCACATGGGTTGTAATCACATGCATCTCTCTGGCATCTCTCTCCACCCACCAGTCCTCCAGTCGTCACGTGTTCGTTCGCTGCACCGGTCGGTGGGTCGTCAGGGTTTGGAACCGGTGGCGATCCAGGGTGCCCCAGCAACGCCACTGGGGATGTGTGCCATATGGCGCGGTGTGGTGACGTGGTGGGGCCGTGGTGGCGGTGGCGGTGACATGGTGACGTGGTGACGTGGTGACGTGGTGACGTGGTGTGGTGGTGTGGTGGTTTCTTTTTTTGGGGAGGCAGGAGGGGTGGTCGTTTTGGTTCGGGTCGTTGGTGTGGTCGTTCTTGGGGTCCAAAGACAAACACCAAGTCGAGTCCTTTGCGGACAGTCTGTCGCGCCATGTCGCGCCCATTCGTGGCCTTCCAGAAATGCGGTGAACGAAACCGAAGATGCCCAAAGATGACTGGAGAGGACGGAGAGTCTTTTGGGGGTTTGATGACGAGAGTTTTTGTGGTTTTTGTTGATGACTTGCCCTATTTGTTTGCCAGAGTTTGACAACGTTTACCAAAAGCACCGAATCCCGTGATGGTTTGGATGGCAGCTTCCATTCTCGTATGTCATAGACTCATAGGGCCTCATTTCATGGAATTCTGATAAAACCTAAAACTGTTTGTACAGCGATCTTAGAGGCTTCCCCTGGCTATGCACCTGGTCATACGGATATGTCGCGATTCGTTGTGGCTACGACGCAGTATATCTTCTTTTTGATGCCCAGTGGCGAATTCTGGTCTTGAGAAGTCACAGCAGGTGCTCATGTCGAGCGCTGGATTCCTGGGATAACCTCGACCATTGCGGACTTTGTATCCAACACTCCTTGTTCTTGAATGTTACCATAGAGGCCCTTCTACTATTGATTGTTGGTTGGTTGATCCATGTTTGATAGAGGAGATACTGCCAGGTTGGTCACCCCAGTTAACTCGGCATATGCTTTTTGCTCATCAACCCCTCGATTCTGGACAATAAAAACATCACGGTCCCTTTCTGTATATATTTATAATATATATTCTTTTCGTTGGGTGGCCTGAACTGAGGGTGACTCAGGTGAACTGCGAGATGGAATAGGTCCGACATATTGACTTGAAACAGGTCCAACTTGTGAGTTTCTTTTGAGGGATCTTGATCAGAACCCACTTTTGTGAGCTGCAGTTGCAAACTCTTCACATGTTCCACTACACGAAGGTCCCTACACCCTCAAGAATCCGAAGGGGCACGAACCAACACAACCCTATGGGATCTGGCGGATCTGGCTTCCGGATCCCCACGGAGGGTCCGTTCCTTTGGAGTCTTAGGGCGTCGATGTCTAACTGACCAGCATCCTAGCTCGCTACGAACCGGGGGCGACCCGGGTCGTACTACGAACGGAACAAGGAACCTAGCTCACTACGAAGGGGGCGACCCGGGCCATTCCTTCAGGACCTGACTGGAGGCCATCCGGACCCTCTCGTGCGTCACCGGACTCTCATCCACGACCGTCGGATCGTTGGAAAGCACCGAGCATCTCCGTTCATCCACGGATGACGGCTCGAGCACCGAGGCTTTTGACTCCTCCGGCACCCTTACTGCCCTTCAGTGCAGGTGCTGCACATCGGGCCGCATGGTGTCCGTTTGGTGGGATGGAATCAAAGCCGGCCAAAAGGCCAACCCAAAGTTGAAGCAAATGGAACTCTGCCCAGGCCATGGTGTATTTGTTATTAATATTGATGTTCAAATTTTCAGTTTATTTGTTTGACTGCTTCGCTGTTTCTCCTGACTGCAGGATACGATACGAGTGGATACGGCAGGAGACCGTTCTCATCGTCCGAGTTCGGGAGTTGGCCGTCGGCCGTCGGTGGTGAGGGACGCATTTCGCAAAAAAGACCCGTGGAATTCCAGATACAAAAGAAAGGAAGACGGAGCTGGGGTGTAATGATCCGTTTTTTTTTCCGTTTTGAGCACCTTTGTGGCTTCTCACGTTTTGGGGGCTCCCGATAAAGAAAGAGCGCGAAGCCCCGGACAACGGGACGCGTGCCCGGTAGGATGGGTAGCCACCTGGCAGCTGGCCGCATGCACTCCCTGAAATCATCTATAGTTACGACCTGGACATCAAACCACCAGCTGTTTGGTATGATTTTGCTCTGAGGAATTCATGGTGCTCCGCACTTCGGCCAGGTGGCCGGGCGCTGCCGGGCGCGGAGCGCGCACGCTTCGTGCGGCGATGGCTGTTGGAACGCGTGGGAGCTCAGTCGGAAGCGGCTGGAAGCAACACCATACACTCCATGTATGCCATATATGCCTACATTGACCCCCCAAACCACCCCAATGTAGGCATATACGGCATACATGGAGTGTATGGCAACACTACAGGAAATTGAAACCAACCTTGGTTCACCAACCTTGGTTGTTGCATCCTTTTCGGATTCGAGAACTCTCCACCGAATGTCACTGTTTTGCTACCCAGCCCATCGGTGTGCGTGTCCCTGCCGGCCCTAAAAGCGGCGGTCCATTTGTCAAGGTCATGTTCCGAAAACTCATCGTGCGAGGAAGGAAGCATGCCACTATTAATATTAGTGTTTACATCTTCCCAGGAAGCCAGCAGACCAATCAAGGCCTATGACTTAGATTGACTTAGGGGTTTCTGAGACCATTTGTAACCCTGAGGCACAGGTGTGGAAAGCAAACCATTGCTTACATGAGACATTCAAGTCAAACTGACTGAACTTGAGCAAACGCACCTGCACTCCATGAAATAATCATGGAAGTGGATGGCATGGCCCCTTGGATGACAGTTTTCCGAATACCAAACAGGTGGTTTTCACCCCACTAAACCAGGTCTGTTTCAGGGAGTGTAACCCCCCTTGTGACGAGGACGACGTCAAGACATGGACCTTTACTTTCTATTGTGGCACCCAGACGCTCCAAACAGCCCTTGGTCGCTCAAAACCTAGCGATTTGAGACCCCAGACCCCTCCATATGAGTGTCCGACCCCTCCATATCAGGGCCCATGAGCGTCTGGGCTGGCCATTTTCCTCTTTCAATGAGAATGAGTCGGAGTGTCCTCTTGATCATCTCCCCACATCGTCTCCACATCGTCTTCCTGCCGGGGTGTTGTGAGCCACGCCATGACACGCTGTTGAAACGGCGTAGTCACACAAGAACCACGGCAGGACACGCTGAGATTTGAACCTTCACAGCTTATTCTGGGACTCCTTTCATGCCAGAATTGGAACCAAAAACCGGGACCATCTGCAGGACGCCCATAGGAAACCCATCGTTTCGGGTGATGAAAGCTGATTGAACTTCCTCTTGAACCAATCCATTGAAGGAACGTTTATTGAGTTCAGAAGATTGGACACCGTGGTGGAGAGATTGCAATTTTTCACATTGTGAAAAAGGAAGTTCTTTTGTTTTCACCGTGTTTTCTTTTTGTTGGACGCACCCTTGTCAGAGGCACGCACATCCTCATGTCGTCACACGGGCCTGAACCTGCGACGGTCATGCCTTCGACCCACCCACCGGCCGACTCGAGCCTTCTACACCGACGCGTGTGGTAACACAGGTTGGGAACACCACATCCACCGACCGCGACGCTCGACCGCTCGACCGAGAGAACGAAGTCGATTGCGGCCATCGCGCTCGCCGCGCGCTCGCCGCGCGAGACGATCGGATCCATTGAGGGGCGGGACGCCCCGAGACGCCCGCCTGGGAGGCCGAGACGATCGGGCGTTTGGGTCGGAGCGGGGTCGGAGGAAGTCGTCGAGTGACTGGTGGGTGCCACCTTCAAAGTGGCCGCTGAAAAAAGCATGTGGCGACAGGGCCAAAGAAAGCTCTAGCATTTGGAGGTGCTTTTGGTCAACGGTTTTGCCGAGTTAAAGGAGGACAGATGTAGGCACAGTTTCGCACTTGGGTTTGTTCCATGACGCAAGTCGTTGGCAAAGAGATTTGCAACGTTCTGTGATCATGAGACCTTTACTTGTCATCATCATCCAGAAGAGCTGATAAGAACCCATGGTGGCAAGGTGCCCCCAGTGTTTCGGCAGAAAAGGAGGTCAGGCTCCTGGCAAGGGGTTTTCCTTTGTCTAGCCCATAAAGGAGTAGTATTTATGGACTGCTTCCATAAGGTTCTTCTTCTATGGAGGGGTCTGAGGTTGAACAAACCCCTAGGTTTTGAAGGGCTGTTTGGAGCCTCTGGGTAGGTCAGCCGGAAGCCAGATCGTTCCATCCTACTTCATCTTCTAGGTCAGCCACGGATCGAAATAAAAGGTCGTGTGGCACATGATGTGGGATGGAGGGAAGAAAGTCAACTGCAAGCTTTTGTCAACTGCAGGTCCCTTGGAGTCCAGTCATGGTAGAATCAGATTGTCCGTTCGGAACACCTTGCCGAGCACCAAGCTGTTCCATCAGGCTGCCCTGGTGCTCCTGGTTCAGCACCAAGTCGTTGGAGCCTCGGATTTCCGGGGCGGTGAGGTGCCCCCCCCCCGTGCCACCCCAGCGACCTGCTGCGAGTTGGAGCCTGGTTTTGGAGCCGTTCCATGAGGTGTCTTTCCCGTCTCACGACCCGTCTGGGACTGCCGGACTGAGAAACGGCCGGACTCGGGGTGGTTGACGTCAGCACGGCAGTCCGCAGCTGGCCCAGACGGGTCGTGTCTGGGTCGGATAAAGTGATCATATCATACCCGATCTGCATCACATCGAAACATCAATCAGATCCCTATCAATCACATCAATAGGGATCCCTATGGGATAGGGATCTATTCAGAAACCAGGAACCCTATCCCATAGACTCCATGGGACTGGAATAGGACTGCCGCCCTATTTTTTGACCGTCCAGGGCAACCACCCCGATCGGCCGTTTCGAAGGCATCTCTTCCAGTCCCATATGGGTCGCGTCTGGGTATAGGGCCACTTTCGTTCGACCCAGTGGGAAGAACAACGGGACCCGTCCGCCTCCGGGACGATGGACTCCGGACCCGTCTTAGTCACCGAGACGCCCAGTGACGTGGAGCTGTGGACGTTGGCTTTGGCGCTGCCGGTGCAGGAGACCGACGGATGCCGGTCTCATGCGGTTCCTCATCTAAGCTAGATTCATGAGGCAGCTGGAAATCCGGAATTCACCGGAATTCCACATTTGGAAGTTTGTACCTGTAACAGCATCTCTTTCTGATCCTCCATGTACCAGAACGGTCCTGAACGGTCCTGAACGGTCCTCCACTCGACCACTGGGACCGCCCAGAGTCATGACAGTCATGGAGTCGTGTGATGAAGTGAAGAGTGAGGCATCCTTCCAGGTCACCAGGAAGTCGGGGTGCCCCTTCCTCACATCCACTCGTGGCCGCCTTCCATGCGATTCAACACCTCCCAACGAGCGGTTCTCTGACTCCTGGTTTGGATGTTTTTCTTGGCACCCGTCAACACATGGAGGGATCGATCATGAGGGTGCACGGGTGTATACTTTTCGGATCGTGTAGGAGAATTCTTGGTCCAACAGCACCAAGAAACCAACTTGCACACATCTTTCTTTTGGCCATTCAAGCTTCTATGATCTTGTATGCTGCATGCAAACTTGTTGATCAATCTTGAAGACCTTCCTTTGCCCTCAACATCTCGGAAACGTCCCCTCCATTTCAACGCGGATCGGAGGATGGTGGATATATGGGATCTACGGTCTACGGGTTAACAACAATCTCTTGCGGAGAGAATCTAAGGTGATTGTTGCATATTTTGCCTCTAAGTAATCTATCATCTATGAAGATGAACCATTCGAAGCCAAACCTCAAAGCCAGCTCGGAAAAGGTTTCCCGATCCACTGTTTTGCGATGAAATCCCAGGAGCCCCGATGTTCATGTTCAACCCTGCAATACCTACGCAGCAGCCCTCACACCATCTAGAACCCAAGTCGATGTTTTTGACATTGAATTGAAGTATATTCCAAAACAGTTCTCAATTCTCAATGCATGTTTGAACAAGACACACTACCATCTTTGTGATCGTTCAATCTAGATTGGGACATGTTCTTGCTCTCCCGAGTGAAACATTCACAGCTGCACCAGTTGACTCACTGGACCGTGCCACGCGTGACCACGCCGCGTGCCACGAACCGGCGCGCGCGAGGAGTGCTTGCGCGCCGCGGCGGAGGAACCGCGGAACGACTGGCTGGTGGAGGTGCAGCGCCTGGATGATCCTGTGGCTTGATCCAGTGATGCCTTTGTTCGGACAACCAGACCCAGACACTCCATGCCATATATGCCTGCATTGGGGTGGTTTTGGGGGTCAATGTAGGCATATATGGCATACATGGAGCGTCTGGGAAAGACAACAGCTTGGGTTCCAACTCGACAGAAATTGGTCGCGAATGAGTGACTTCGACTAAACACACAACTGCGTTTAGTCGACCTTGAAGGTCATGCGTCCGGTTGTACCTGCTCAGTACACCAGATCCGTGTCACAGGAACGTTTATCCACGGTAGACAAGCACTTCAACAGAGTGCCGAGATGCAAAAACACTACTGTATTTTTTTTTGTATATAGACCCCGCCAAATAGATGGAAGTTCATAGATCCCCACCAAAAATGTATTGGAAGCCGTGCCATCCTCTACTATTCGGGGACCACTTAATTATAGTATATTAATATTGATCATAGTTGACCTCTCATCGAAAACGCCTGCCGTGGCCAGGCGTACATGTTGATCGGCCGCGAGGACTTGGCGTTGATGGCCCAGCCGGTCAAGGTGGCGTGTCGACGCGACTTCGCCGCGGAGTGAAGGGTTGGGGTCGATGAGGGTCGATACCAGGTGAAAAAAACAGGGTGACAACAGCATAAAACAGTTTTTTTAAATGTTCACACTAGATGAGTTGGACCCTACCAAGTGAGTTGGACACATGTTTACACTTGATGCCTCGATCATATGTGGCACTCCAGAAGGTTTTGTAGAAACTCCATCTACCAAAACGTGGAAACCTATTATAGCTATAGGCTATATAGGCGTCAATGTCAGGAATATGTCGTGGTCCCTGGGTCCGTGGAAACGGGTCTGGGTTCCGGACACGCTCGTCCGGACGACCGGAACACGCATGGAATCGCTCCGGTCGTGCGGCGAAGCGCGGCGAAGCGCGGCCGTTTTCCGTTCGGACTGGGTCCACCGTCGCGAGATGGAACTCGAGGGACTCCTGGTCCAGATGGCCCAGCTCGCACATCAATTGCTTGAGCTTTCAGAGCTGGGTTGTGTTGTTAAAAATAGGGAGACCGGAGACCTCCCAAAGACTGTCTCTGGAAGGTTCGGGAAAAAAGACCGTTCTCTTCCCAGCGGAGTCGAGGGAGTCTCTATAGTAAGATACACACCCGCCTGGAACAGCCGCAAGGAAGCCTGGTAGCATGTGCCCTTGATGCGATCATTTGAGCCGACTCATTTGCTCGTGCCCTGAAACGGCCGAGTGCAGCGCTACATTGACCCCTCTGCCGGCCGAGCCGGAGATCAGCCGAGGGCGACGCGGAGATCCGATGCCGAGGGTGGTGGTGGCTGTCCTGACTCAATGCGATGCATTCAGATGAAGTGCACTGGAGAGGCTGTGGAACTGCAGCATTCCATTCGAGGTGCATCAGATGCTGCACGGGATCATGTGTGGGATTTGTGTCCAGAGCTTCGGCTTCGGCTTGGCATGCTCAGCGTGAAACTTGATGAGTGCTTGATAATGGGTACATTGGATCATATTAGGCTGGAAAACCAGTCACCACCAGAAACAAATGGATTCTTCCCCAGTCTGAAACATAAAGGATCTCAAGAAAGCCATATTGGGCTCCAACCGAGCCCAGAGAGAAGCCTGGACGGGCGGGTGGTTCAAACATGTTCAAACGATGGTTTTTCTTGCTGGCAGTGGCACACAGGGAATGGCGTCAGTGTAGAAGGCGCACACCCACAGACTAGTTTCGATGGCGTACATTTTCCGCATCATACACAACCATTTAGGCTGTGTGCTGTCCACTCCAGAATCAGTGTAGGCAGAGGTGAATCCCATTGTGCAGGCAGCCCCCTTGCTGTTCTTTTTGGAACTTGCGTGGGCGGATTGTTGCTGGGGCAGTTCATCACCGTGCACTGTGGATTGCACATTTAATTGAGTCAGAAATACTGACAATCTGACATCTACCAGCACCCTCCAACAGGTCTCCGCAATGGAGACTTTGGTGGACTTGATGTCGGTGGTGACCTGGGTGAACCGGTGTCCACCTCTTAACCGAAAAATCCTCCTCGTCCTCGTGTCGATTGGCCCGTTCGACCGTCAGGGTGAAGCGACCCTCACTTCCAGGTGCGGTTCGCCGGTCCGCGGCGGTTCCGGTGGAGGAAGGCGCTCGCTCGCGCGAGGCCATGGAGCCATATGGAGCCCCGGTGAGCTCCATGGACTTCTGAGGAACCGAAAAACGAAAGCCATTCTGGACGATTTTGACCCCAGGTTGTCGCCCGGGGCCATGGACGGTCTGGGCTCAGAGGGTGACGTGCTGTCGATACTGGACCTGGAACTGACCCACACACAGTGGATCACCTGAAAAACGGTTAAGGTTTGGGGGGATTGGGACACCCCAATTAGATCCAACACTAGTTTCCGCGGAGATTGAGGCAGTCAGGTAACTATAGCAGTAGACGTAGATCCATTAGTGTTGAGAGCCACGGCTCAGTTGATCTCTGAGAGCACATGATAGCACAGCACGTTGGCCAGTGCTGATGCTTACATATTTTTCTACCTGCTGACTAGGCTCTGACTTGCTGCAGTCGTTCATGAGTTCCTCAAGCGTGAGACCAGACTTGGGAGCTCGTGGGAGTTCGTGCCATCCCACCTTGCAGACCACGGAGTGTGGTCTTGCAGGCGGTCATGCTTCCCTTGTTCCACCAATGGGGTCAAGTCCTTTGTTGATACACCGAGAAATGCCCAAGGCTTCCTAGACATTTTGCCAGACCCAACCTCTAACACAACAGACAAACATCCGGCCATCCCAGTGGCAATCTGTTAGGATCCCCTTGATCACCTCCTGATCACCTCCCCCCATCTTTGCCGAGACACGGCAATCCCAGTGCCTTTGACTCGGCCCAGGCGCTTCCGGGACTTGCTCGATGCCACCGAGGATGTCGGAAGGGACCGGGATGTTTTCACCACACGATGACCAGGGGTCCCGGTGGGCAATTCCTCGGCCAATTTGGGGGGATGTTGGGGTGTTGAACTCGCAAAGCTTACAGATACTTACAGCTCTCAATACCCCATACACTCCATTGGGACTGCCATAGCCGCCCCATTGACCCCCGAAACCACCCCAACTGATCGGCAAATATAGCAATGGAGAGTATGGGCCATGAATTGGATACCACTGGGGATCGGATTGAGGGATCGAGGAGCCGAGGTGTCACCGCCGTTCAAGGCGACGGGCGACCCGGACCAGGAGAGCGGCGATCGTGTGAAGAGCGTGTGTTGAGAGCGGCGTGTTTCGCGTGTCCCATCGAGTGTCTGGGTTGGGAAACATTCACTAAGTGTGACCTCCCGGTGGCATCCAAGGGTGGTCTATCTCCCGAAAAAACTCACATGGTTACGTGGAGTGAGTTCACCACCTGTTTGTCATGTTCTCATGGTCTTCCGAACTCGGGGGCGCGCCATCCACGTGGGGCCCATGTCCGTTCGTTTCAGGGAATTCGCCCAGCGGCCCAGCTTCGTCCTCACCCGGCTCCCGTTCCACCTCCGCCGGCTCCGCCGGCTCCGCCCTGACCGGTCCGCGCTCACCCGAGGATCTCTCGGCCACCAGCGCGGATCCCATGGCCTCGCCCGAATGGCCCGGAACGCCCGGAGCGGGCGGGCGCGAAGGGGGGGAGGAGAGGAAGGTCGGAGGCCACAAGGGCAGGGGTCTGGTCGAGGGGGACGGTGGGGTGGGTGGGTGTTGTACAGGGACATCCGGAGCATTGGGTGTGTGTTTTTTTTGGGGGGGGGCAGATGGTCTGGTTTAGAGGGGGAGCACGGCAGTTACAGGGAGTTTTTCAAATCAGCTGCCAACAGATTTTTGTTGAGCTGGGCTGGCAAGTGGTGAATGATTAAGAGATGTGGAGAATATGTGTCTTATACTCAACCTGAGTTCGGCTCCCTTTCGGGCAGGATTTGAGTCGCTGTTGACCCCCCAGCGTGGCTATGAAACCCATGGGCAAACCACTCGCAACCCACAAAGAATTTGTTCAGGCAACGACCTCACGTAGTCTTGTGTGCATAGTTCTGACATGCGCGCAGTTTTGGAAGTCCCCTCCATCCCCTGCCTAGACAGAGATGCTGCAAAAAAAGAGTGTTTTTCATTTTTTTGGAGGGTGTGTGTGTGTGTGTGTGTGTTCTATCTGGTTGGGGTTCTGCTTATATATCAGTCATATGAGCTGCCTGAAATAGATGGAATTATGTACACTTACAATAATATCTAAAGACCTTCTTTCCTGTACTCCAGGTCACCGCATTCGAACAACGGTACGCGCATTCCATTGTTCAAAGGGAGGGTGAGCAGCTGCAAAAGGTGTGAGAGATATGGTTCACTCTCTAACAGATAAGGACTGTTTGCTGAATGATGCTGAATGTATGCCACAAATAAAAGGATGGTTTCGCTCGACTCGGAGGGCGACAATGCATATTCAGTTTGACCAGAAAAGACTTTTTCAAGTCTGGAAGCTCCTTGAACCAGGTGCTCAAGAACTAAAAGTCACATGATGCTTTCTACTGGTTTGTAGAGGAAAGCCTTGCCTTCAGATTTCAGTTTTGGAGGAAACCTGCCAAGTTGATGAGCGGAAACCACGGTGGAGGGTGGATGCTGCAATGCTGCCCTATGCTTCCGATCCGAAGCTGTCTCAGACCAGACGCGGCAACAAAAAGAACCCTCAAAAATTTGAACGACTTGATGAATCGATGAACTACCAGGCATGGATGCACTCACTTGCGGGCATGTACGCATCCACCAACACCCGTCTACAATAGGACAAGGGTACCAGGCATGGTGGATCATGGATGTCTAAGAGATGTCTAAGTGCCGCCCGTGGACGTGCAGGAAGTGGAATTCTAGACTCTTCTTTCCGGCCATGGCGGCCATGGTGTGTGGAGAGGAAACTTGGATACCTCAGTCCTCCAAAAAAGCAGGCTGTTAAGGCTACCAATGTGAAGGCCAGAAAATACCATGTGTAGAACAGATGAAACCACCAATCCTTCATCACATCCAGTTTTTCACCCAACAAAAGACACATATAGGGGCAACTAACACTAGTAAGTCCCTTCTCCTTGCTTCGCTTCTGCCCTTCCCCCACCGCGTCGGTCCTGCCGCGCTTCCCAGCGCCAGCGATGGCGTCGCTGCTTCCGCCGTCCTTCGCGCCTGAATGGCGGGTGCAACAGCTGGAATGGCGCCTGGCAGAGGTCGAGCGAGCGACTTGGACCGGACCTCTCTGGGTGGGTTGGGTCGGTGGTGAGGTGGCAGGGCCCAAGGTCGGATGCTGTTCGTTAACATAGATGTAGATATATATGACAGGTGAAGAATGGGAGAAGGGTGAAGTAACACGCGTTTCGTCGCGTTTCGACTCTTTATTTCACTTGTGGAAGGAGGGTGTGGCCAAGCAATGTGTTTTTGCTTGAAATGTCTTGTCGTGGGTGCTCAAGCGCGCAACATGGGACCAAAGGAAGACCCGATCGAGCTGTTTGGTTGTTTATATAGTCATGGATCATCCAAGGCCCCATGTCATCCACTTTCACCATGATTCAGGAAGTGTACTCAATTACTTGTGCTTGGTGTCGATTGGGAGCTGGGCCTTCCAGTAGTTACGTATTTGGGGCAAGAAGGCGGTTTTGCGGTAGAGTCCTGGGCCACTCTACTAAGAGAGGATCGCCTGAGAGGAGTGCAGCATACTTGTAGTTATTGTAATGGTAGTGCACCAAATGCAAGGTTTGATAAGGCTTCAATTGTTTTGACAGGGCATATGCTTTGTTGTGTGATATCATTGCTGTGGCCGAGCAATGAAAGACCCATGTCATTGTTAATGAAAGTGATGCTTGTAACTTGTAACTCGCTTCCCTCATAGGTTGGGTGCTGCGCCACTGGACAACGAGAATCAGTCACTGGACAACGAGAATCGTCCTTTTTGTGGACCACGAGGCCCTGATTTGTAGAGACCCCTAGTCACCATGATTAAGCCAAAAGCTCCACACCCCCAAAACCTCTAATTCACCATGATTGGTTCACAGAGGCCCTATTTGACCAGGCCCATGAAACCCCCAATGGGCTCCAAATCCGTTCGAAGGCTTGCCCCTGCCCCTGCCAACCAAACGCAACCCGTCGACCTGAACAAAAAGCGCGAGGTTCGCGCTTCGTGCTTCTTCCGCATCATCTCTCCACTCCTAAGGTCTTAGCCACTTTAAAGCCACAGAATGGAAGCAAAGGAGGCCAGGAACCACCAGGCTGGGGACCGCTGCGCCTGCCGCAGGAGGGGAACAGAAGGCTGGCTACTAACCCATGGGTGGCGGGTGTCTCGAAGGTCGAGACAAGGCAAGTCTTAATGGATTCTAGAAGTCGACATGTTCTAAGCTCTGCTACAGCGGAACCTGTTGTGGGATAACTTGAACCCAAGGGTTTCGGACAACCATTCAGAATGCTTGTTTCTATGCTTCATGACGCCTCACTGGTGGGTCGTGAACGCTTCAGAAGTACCGCCCTTGGTGGGTCGGGTCGACCTGCAGCGACCGCTGCAACCGGGACAGCTCCCCACGGCATAGAGGCAGCCACCAGGCACCAAGCCATGTCAAAGAAGTTCCAAAAAACCCGGTTCTTGGCCCACAGATGTGGTAGAGAAGATTCATTACAACTTCCTGATTTTGCGGATGCAGGTGCTTTTTGTTGTTTCCTTAGGTCCTTTATTAACCTTATGGTTAAATCCCCTTCTGGGGAATCTTTTTTCCAGGTTCCTTCAGCAACTCCAAGACTTCCTGGACGAATTTCTGGGGCTCCTCTCAGTTTCTACATGGACATCCACCACTCTGGCGCTTTCTTAAAGTCACTCACGGCTTGACATACCTTTTGAACGGTTTGTGTCCAAATGAGATGGGGAGTGTCTTGAAACACAAGTTAGGTTCACATAGTGACCCCCTGACATAGTGAGCGACAAGCCGACCGGACCCCTTATTCTTCAGTATCACCCACACCAGACCGACCTCCGTACCTTTCAAAAAGGCTTTCTGACCGGTCCTAGACCGGTCCAGGACATCCGTCCTTTAGGGCTCTGATCGTGTCACAAAAAAGGATCTCCAGACGCGACCCTGGGCCCGAATCCTCTGGAGGGGTCTGGGGTCGAACCAATCCCTATAGCTTTTGAGGGACCAGTCGGGCTGTGAACGGAGCGTCTGGGTAGTAGGTTAGAATCTTCATACCCACCTCCCGATTTTGGAGCAGAACTTCCCCAGCATGGCTTGCCTTTTTTGCGGTGAACACCGCGGATCTTTGGAATGGCAGGAGACTTGAAACCCACGAAAGATGGAGAGGTGCGGTGGAAGCCGTGCGGATGCATGTTTGTGTAAAGGCACCACAGTGCGTTGCATGGCAAGACAGTTCCATGGCCACAAATACTAGTGCCTGATAACCATCAGTCATTTTTCCGCGGGTGGTATATGGTGATGGCAGGTGATAAGCGACCTGATGTGTTTGCAGCAATCTCTTTGCCAAAACGATCACCGGTGAGCTAGGCGATTCAGGTGGATGTTTTTTTCATTCATGTTTTCTTGCCGCGTTTCCAGCGGCAAGAATCAACACGTGGCTGGGATCTAAGCATCAGCCTCAAAGCTACTGATTCCAAAGCTGTAGATTCTTAACGCCCGAAACTGGTAAAACTTGGGATTCGCATTCAGGATAGTTGCAGTTCCAGGTCCCACGATCCTATCAGAGGTTTGAGAGGTTTGATGGCGAGCCAAATTGAGATGACTGTGAGTCAAAATAAACCTCCCTCTCCAAACCACGGTAGGTTGACATTTGAATAGAGGAATCTGTTCATTTGACCCAGGGCAGAGCCCCAGGGTGCTGGAGATGATGTCCATGGTGACCGTGGATGGGAGGGCGTGAATCGATTTCTAAGTGTTATAGGAAAAAACCCCGGAGATGAACGCTCTGAGGATACTCCGAGAGGGAAAGTCACAACCTCAACCTGCAGTCATGACAGATGTTCCCCAGGGCTCCTGGCCCACATCCCCAGGTTCAGGTGGTTGGGGTGGGTGCCAGGGGGTCTAACCCCCTTACCTGAGGAGATGGGCCAGGATTGATGTGGTTGGAGCCCTAAGGGTTAATCATGACATATTAGACAGAGCTTTTCTCATGGCAAGGGGCTCACTGTTTCTGATGTCGTCTACTCCTACAAAATCGACCATGTCTTCCCATACTTCCGGACACTGATCCTCCACGATTGGTGGAGCTCTCCAGACTCCTGGCATCGTTGATCTTCTTCCAACCCACCATCGGACAGGACAGCCCTCACAGCGATGACAGCCTGTTGCGTGCAAGTTCGGAAGCCTTTGGCACCGTCGCGGGGTCTGAGGGACGTAGGGAGGGACGAGAGCATCGGTGGGAGGGCGCTGGGTCACCGGTGGAGACCAGAGCATCGTCATGGCCAAGAAAAAGAGTCTTCCCACCAAAAAGGACACTTGGCTAAGGTGGCTAAGGCAAGAGTTGTTCGAAATTTGTTGTGCTTCATTTCTGTATAGGGGCGTCTCAGACGTTTTTTCAAAGATGCACACAGCGCTGGACGGAGCGCTGTGCTAAACCGGGGTCACGTGCGATGATACCCAGGGGGTGCTAAACTGGGGCCCATGACATCTCCAGCAAGATGGCCGTGGGTCATGGCACCCCCAGTGCCGTCGATTCGTCGTCGATTCCTCGTCGATGTTCGGTGGGAAAAACCAGGGTCCCCCAGTGCCAGTATCTCTTTGGTAGGCCTGGTAGGTCTCATTCATTGACAAAGAAGGCTTGGAAGAATGTGCCCCTCTTCAGAGTTTCGGTGGGAGTCGGAGTTCAAGTCCAAAGAAGAGAGGATGAGCTCAAATTGTAGAAGGAGGGAGGGGGATGAACCGCTTATCATAGCTCGCTGCTTTGTCTCCAACGAGCCTGTCGCAATTTTTTGGGTGAAACATCTGTGGTGCTAAGAGACGACTTTCTCCACCCATCAACGATGCCGAGGCCATTTTCTTACCCTCGGGTGATGAAGTACGTGGCGGTGTGGCCACCATGGGCCCCTGCACCTTGGCGCCAACGGGCAGCATGGGCTCCAGGATGCGGTGGACATTTTCGTGGCAGCTTAGAACCATTGGTAGGGCTCATGGTCGTACACTTGAATTCATCAGGTGTTTGCCCCATTTCTACATCTTCAGGAGCAATATAGTTGTAGATTGAACTACCAGGCGTGGTGTTCGCCGTCTTTGACTGGACCGTGAAAGGAGAGGACCGATGCTTCACCGTCGGGTCGGGTTCGTCACACGACGGTGGATGGGGGCGGCAATGCAGGCTTCGTCGGACCGTGTGATGAGTGAGTGTCTCAGACCCTCGGGGTTTATATCATGCCACTTGGATCCACTTGGTTGTTTGTATTCAGACACGAAGTCAGACGCTCGGGGTATGACATCGCATAGCGGGAGTCGTGGTTGGAAGTCCAGAGCTGCTGAAAGGACGGCTTTTAAGAGGAACCCAATACAGTTCAGCTGGCGGCCAGCTGACAGCGAGGAGATTTGGGGAACTCTGAGAGCAATGGGGCACTCTGAGATTGTTCTGTTTGTCCAGCAGACTGTGCCATGAGAGAGCATCCATAATCTCTTTGCTTGGCTGACTTGGCTGGAATCTTTTCCATTGATGCCAAGACAGCAAGAATTCTATATCTTTGATATCGTATATTACACATCATACACACTGACTCACTAACATGAAAGTGGAAAATGGTCCCTTGGAAGACTGCTTTCCTTCGAACGGGGGGGTTGCCACTTCCAGGTGATGGGTTCGTCGGAGTGAGGCCATGGCCTGGGCCTGGGCCTACAGGGTCTAAGATTGCTCACGCTGGAAAGCCCTGCAAATAGTAGCGTCCTTGCTCCGTTCGTAGCGATGCCAGGAGCCCCAACGCGTCACGTTCTTGTTCCTGGTAGTAAGACCAGGAGCCCCAGTTCGTAGCGTCCTTGCTCCCTACAATGGGCTTTCACACCCAGTCCATTTTCTGTCTCCACATGAGCGTTGAGCAATGCCACAGACGTGCCATGCGAGTCCTTCCGTGGAGCTCCACCAGTGCACCGGTCGTGACGATCGTCGCGATCGTCGTCACCATAACCTTCGACAGTGGAGACCTTCGAACCACGAGAGGTTCGGTTTTGTGTCTAAACGACTCAGTTTGGTTCATCATTTGATCTACAAAGTTTGGGTTGGTTGGTTTCTACCAAGCTTGGGCTTGATATGTTTGATGGATGCACATGCGAGGCTCTCATCCCTGGTTCAACGAGCCCAAGAACAGTGCCGTCAGTCCATGTTAGCGGCACTCAGTGACCCAAGATCTTCAGTACAGCACCTAGCCCTCACTATTCATCCATCCCATGTATAGGTCAACCAACGATGACTGTAGCATGTTTTTGACCCCATAGCCATTGATCCTCCTACGGGGGTCCCAGTTCAGGTCTCCAAAACCTCCTCTCACCTCGAGCTCTGTCAGGCTACGAAGTCCAGCATTCCATTTGGGCGCCTCGGACGAGTTCTCCCCCCCAAACGACCCGCAGAGACTCCACGGCTTCGTTTGGAGAGATCTTCCTAAAACGAATTGAAGGAGTAGAGCGGAGTCCATCCTCCCATCCTGCCATGTCATGGACCCTGCGACCGGGACCCGAGGGGGCTGTACCCGAATCCGAACTGGTCAGGGGTGACCTTCGAAGCCAATCCCTATATGGTTTGGTTCGGGATTGGTCGGCCTGGGTGGGTCATCAATTCGTGCTGGACGTGTTCGATGTGGGCGAGCCACGCTGGGACCCCAAGCCGTCTGGACCCAACCACGCTTGGAAGAGACGACCACGACTCGGCTCGGCTTGAGGAGGTCGTGGGGTCGAAGCTTTTGGTAATCCTTAGTGGTCGACCCCTAGATAGATGAGACCGTGCCACTATCTACTCTGGGACCACTATGGTCCTATGGTGGTTTTGCATGAGGAATTGCTGAAAGAGAGATAGAGAGAGAGAGAGAGAGACAGAGATAGCGCTTGGATTTTGGGGCTCTTGCAAGCGTCCTGTCAAAAGCATACTGAACAAAGGCCTCCAGCTGATGGCTGATCAAGATGGAAGCTGCTTTTGAACACTTGAACGTTTGTCATGTTTTTTGCAGGACGTTTGAACCCAACTTGAACCACAATTTGCATACGGGGCAGCGGCCGCACTGACAGTGCTTGGGAGAGGTGACGGGCCTCAGTATTTGTGAAAAGCAGAAGAAGTGCATGGTTGTTCGGAACGAGTAAAACGGGTGTGAGGTCCAAATCGAGGGGAGCCGAATGAAGTTCCAAAAAACCCATAAAAAACCCTAGACCTGTACTCAAGCAACCGGGAAGTGAGTGGTGGAGCAAAACCCTGTTGGCGTGCAGATCGGCACAATGGGGGACACGGTCCGACCAAGGGCTGCGTGGAGAGCTGTGTTCGGTGGTCCTCAGCTCAGTTGTCGGTATGCTGGCCTAGGACAGCTGCATGATCGTGGGCTTGCCGATCATCAGCGATTGGGACTCCGTCCTGATCTGTTTGCTCATGCTCATGCGACTTGAGCATTAATTGTCCGGTTTCGGGACGGGACTGCTCACACAATCAAAGCCTAACAGAGGTTTCCATAGGGTTTGCCGTTGGGCGCTTTTTGCTTCTTCGGACGCGAAGGGTCCGGTGATAGAGGTCATACGACTCAGGGCGGGCGAAGAAACCAATTCACAAAGGGGGATTGCAGTAGAGACTCTTTGGCCACATAATTTTTTCCAGAAGGAAAACACCATGCTTTGAGGGAGCTTGGAGAGGTCCGACATGGAAAGATGCTGCCGCATCTTGGGACTTCGCCTGGCGGCAGCTGGCCAGCTGCTTGAACGCCGGAACCGCAGGAAGTGATCGGAAGTGAAGGCACTTCGACGTGGGCTTTCTGAGAAGTGAAGGTCTCTTCAATCTTCGGGCACCGCGCGAGACGTGTGGGATGCCCTTGGTACCACACTTCGCTTTGACAATCACAGAAGGTCAAATGGTCGCGCCGGATTTGGTCGAAATGAGGCCGTCATGAGCAGAACTTGGCCGACTCGTGTTTCTCCTGCTTCTCCAGACTTGTCCTAACATGCGGGATGGTTGGGACAGCATCTCCGCTCTTTTCCGGGTGGTTTGATCGCAGAAGAGCCGTGCTTTCTTTCAAAGCAAGTGGACCTGGCCGGTGCCTCTCCTTGCACCTCCGCCAGCCTCTTTTGTGAACAAGCTTTGTTCACCTCCTGCTGGTCATGTTTGGGCTGATAGAATTGACATCCGCCCTATTTTTGGTGTACCCAGTGCACCAGTTCTCTCCGCTCTGCAGCTTCCAAATTTCTCTACTTCGAGTGATCCCCACCCTGAAAGGCAACTTGGAAGAAGCCAGGGCACATGTATTGACAAAGGCAGACATGCGGATTGACACAATGTTCTGACGCTTGTTTTGGCATCAAGTCTCGTTTGTGCTATGACACATCCTCTGGCTGGGAAATGTTCTGGACTGTGTTCTGATGTCCAGGTTGGTGTGTGTTCTGACTGTTTTTCCTGTTTGACATGTGATGTGACATATGCTTTGGTCTTGGTATGTGCTCTGACATGTATTCCGACCGTTGTTCTGCCATCAAAGAAAGTGTCCATCTTGCAAACAATATTGGCATTCTATCTGGCATATATTCTGGCATTCTTAGTGGCGCTTGCTGTTGAGGCCCTGGAGTGCCTTCTGGTGAGGCCCAGTAGTGCCCACTGCGATCTAGTACTTGCGGAGGAGGAGGAGGAGGAAGAGGACCAGGGGACAGATCCAGAGGAGACCTCTTCGAAAATCTTTAACAGCCCTCGTGGGGAAATTCCCATCCGACCAACTGTGGAGCACTTTCTCCACATCCTTGCTGCTTGTGTCGACACATGGGATGGAATCGGGATCTTCTTTTCGGCTAACCCTAAGACTGATGCTTTGCGCCCTTTTGCTGCACCCTTCTGGGGATTCAATGGCCACATCACGGGGTAGCCCCATGTTCTGGGACTAGCTACGGTATACACTGTGCTCCTGCAGGTTCAATCCTTCCAAGGTTTCCAATGTTGATGCGTCCTCGCACCCTCTCTGGTCCTCTTGAAGAACTAAAGTCACCCAAAAAAGGCTCATGGCTTCGAACGTTTTTTGGGAGCTACTATAGGGCTTTGCGGGCCATTGCGCATGTGAAAGCTTTTGATTTATGGTCAATACCTTCTCTTTTGCCACTTTCCTTGTTTCAAAGCCTTGTTCGTCCAGGATACGTTCAACCTACGGGCGCATAGCTTGGGGCATAGGTTGCGATACAGCAAGGCAAGGTCCTACGGTTGCAGGGTCAGTCCAGTTCAGGCGGATGGAAGTCCGTCCGCCCGTCACCAACACGACAGTCAGAGGTCTGCGCCGAAATGGTGTATCTTAAAATACAAACATCTCAAGAGGACATTCTTAAATGTTGTTTGACTGCTATTGCTGGATCCCTAGTGTTTCGTTCTCAAGAAAACCATGCATTTCTTGCTCCCCGTGGTTTTTAACAGTTTTTATCCTCATTTGCACACTCGTCATAAACGCAGCCAGGAACATTGCTGCTCAAGTTGGCTTTGTTGTTCCTCGGATCAAAAAACTGTGGGGTTGCGGGTCGCAAGGGATTTGTGGAAAGTCATCTTGCACAAGTTTGTTGATTTTTTGTGGACACACAGACATCAATCTTTATGGTCTTAATTTAGAGGGGTGCGCGCTGAAGCCGATCATGTCCATTTGTTCATATCAATTTGAGGGGCTTTCCATGTTTGCTTTGTGGAAGCTGGTCATTTTTCGGAACCTGTCAAGGAGACTTCTGACTGTGTGACGGCCCTTCTTGCTCTGATGGACACTCAGACTCAAACCACACGGAGTGGGTCGTGCAGATTTGCTCATTTTTTCTGAGATCTGAACTAGAACCCTGGTCTGTGGTACATATGGGATGGGCGACCTTCAGGTTGTTCAACCTCTCTTGGCAGATGCCATCTTCAGATTCCCCTCCGATGTCTAGACATCTTCAACTGATGTTGGATATTCGAAAAAGGGATTCCCCCTCCCAACTCTTATCATTATTGAGAACCCTATTGCTGATCAGGATCCAACATGACTTTCCTATGCGTTGAAATCTGGTAGAGACTTGCTCGCGACTCGTTGCCTGAGCGAAGTAGCGAGGAAACGTGTGGAAATGTGAGAGGATGAAGTGTGGATGATTTCACTGCGCAGGCGCAGCGTTTTGTGGTAACATTGGGATTGGCGTGTGGGGGGTGGTGTTTGTGGGGTGTTGGATGTGGCTGTGACATTGGGATTTGTGTTTCAGGCTGTTGCTTCGCGCTGTGTTTTCGTGACAAGTCTCAGCTCAAAGGCCGATTTTGGTGGATGGGTGTCTGCTCAGAACGTGTCGGAACCATTCCAAACGTGTGGTGTGGTGCAAATTTTGTTGAAGCTAACATGATATGATATTGTCACTTTTAGTGGCAGGCACAGCAGTACTTTGTGCGGCTTTGAGGTGTGGAAAGGCAATTTTCGCAGCAGGCGCAGGGCATCGTGAGGTTGCGAGGTGTGGCGGAGATCGCATTTCGTGGCAGGCGCAGTACTTTGTGCATGTTGGAGGCGTGGGCATGCAAATTGTCGTGGCAGGCGCAGGGAATCCTGAGGTTGCGAGCTGTGGTGGAGGTGAATGTCGCTGTGACATTGGGCTTGGCGTGTGAGGGGTGTTGTTTGGAGGGGCTGGAATCGCGAAACTGCTTGGCAGGGCTGCTTGATGTGTGTGCTTCAATGGGGCTTTGCGCTTGACTTTTGGAAGAAGTCTCGTACGAAACACTCGTTTTGAAGACTTTGACATGCGACTTTTGGAGGAAGTCTCGTACGAAACGCTCGTTGTGGAGTTTGGACGTGCATTTTGGAAGAAAACTCGTTTTGCTTGAATTATGGAAGAAGAGGTGAATGTCGCTGTGACATTGGGATTGGTGTGTGGGCGGGTGTTGCTTGGAGGGGGTGGAATCGCAAAACTGCTTGACAGGGCTGCTTGGTGTGTGTGCTTGATTTTTACTTGGCAGCTTGGCTTGCGCAAGTCGTGCGCGGAACACTTCACATTGTTCAGGATTAGAACTTCCATCCTTCCAACGCTCCATTCCGCTCGCTGTGAGGCGTCCAGATCTTCCTCGCTACACCCCCGCCGATCTTCGGCGACTCGTGCAGGACTCGGATGTGTCTATACTGCGCCTACTGTTCTCTCTAGCATTGGAACTGCCACAACGCACCCTGTCGTCGCCCATGTTCCTGCTGCACGTGCCTCTCAGGAAAGCGACGGCGCTGGCCGCTTCGAGGTCACCAAACACCGCATCCCAAAAGTCCGCGCCTCATGGGTTCATGGTGCTTCTAGTCGGTGCCATAGTTTTCAGCAATGAAGAAAAGACAGCTTAGGCTTACCAAAATCAAGCTTGAAGATTTGCTCCTATCTTTGCCATCGGCGCGAACTCATGTACGCCGCCCATGTGGACGCCGCAGCACGCTCGAGATGCGTTTGCCTCTGTGTGCCACCCCGGAGGCATCATTTCCGCGCAATGCTCTTCAGGAGGTAGTATAAATGAGTTGGCCCGCTTGGCGTGGGGTCTTCCAGGCCGCCCTTAGCGCAAGCCACCTCAATCACACCGCTGCCAGGCAGGTTCATCTTCTGGTTGTTCTTTCCTGAGTTTAGGCTACTCCATATTAAGCCCCTGTATATATACGGTCCTGGTACCATAAAATCGCCTAACACTTCTTCGTCTTCCTCTTTGTTTTCATTGCGGCCTTCAACTGTACCCAGGTGGTGGAGGACGTACCAGCCCCCGCGAAAGTGCGAGATGTTGATCCATGGGGCACCCGACGGATGGCGCAGCACACCATCAGCCGACCTCGAATTTATTCTCAAGGAGGCACGCGCGTGGACTTTTCGCATTTGTTCATTCCATGCTTCCGGTCTATTTTGCAGGACTCGGTTGTTGCCACACCGCTGGAAGACCTTTTGACGGTTGAGGTAGGGGAGAAGCCATGGTCGCTCTTGCGAGGCCGCTGAGGTTTGGCTGGGCGAATTCGCCGTTTGGTGGTACCCGGCGATGCTGCCATCGGATGTGCAGGTTTGGACAGCAAAGAAGCTTCCCAAATCTGTAAAATTCGTCTGCGACAACACAATGTAACAGCATGGTGCGAGGCGACGGTAATTTAGCGCTAGCCGGCAAGGACTACGACGGAGATCTTTTAAAGTCTCGTGCGAATCACCTGTGGTTGACCGGCGTGACATGACCCGACATATCCCCGGCAATGGACCATGCATCTTTTTGACATGACCGGCATCGGTGACGACTGACGACGACTGACGACAGGTTCAGCCGGCAGCAAGAGACACTTGGAGATTCACAGCTGCGAAACGCTCGTTTTGGAGACTTGACGTGTTAATTTTTGGAGGAAGTCTCGTACGAAACGCTCGTTTTGCAGACATTTAAGCATGAGCTTTTGAGGACGTCTCGCGCCAAACGCTCGTTGGGGAAACTTGACACGTGAACTTTGGAGGAAGGCTCGTACGAAACGCTAGTTTGGGAGACATGAGGAGACTTTACTAGTGTGCCCAACAAGAGTGTCCCTCAAAAGTGTCCTTCAGAGTCCTACAAGAGTCTCCTACAAGAGTGTCCCACTATCCGACAAGAGTGTCCCACAAGAGTGCCCCACAAGAGTGTCCCACAAGAGTGTCCTACAAGAGTGTCCTACAAGGGTGTCCCACGAGAGTCTCCTACAAGGGTGTTCCATTAGAGTGTCCGACAGAAGTGTCCTATAGAGTGTCCCACAATAGTGTTCCACAAGAGTGTCCGACAAGAGTGTCCCACAAGAGTGTTCCATAAATGTATCCGGCAAGAGTGTCCCACAAGAGTGTGCGGAGGATTCGCAAGGCTTCTTTGCAACCTGATCGACAACAGCTGGAGAAGGCGCAAAGCGAACACATCAAGAATGTCCGGATGTATCGACAGACTCAGAGCAGGCTCAATGCCCTGAGTGAGCAGGCTACAGGGACCAATGGTTCATCTACTTCCATCCTCAAACTGGACATTGATGGATTGGATCAAAGCAAGACTCGATATCCAAGGCTGAATTCGATCAATCCCAAGTCGCTGACCAACGCATGGCGGCCCCAAATCCATGTATTGGGATGCACCATTTGGGGTGTACCTTGGATAATGCTGGTCACCACTAAGTTAAGATTGAATCATGATCAATCGTCATAATTAGATGGGATGGTTACAGCTTGTCATTGGTTGACTGCCTTCACCTAAAACTGATTAGGTCCACTAAGAATCTTTGACTACAAAAGGGATGGGCTGACCCAATCTGTTGCCACCAAGGTAGTGGAATCTTACTTTGTCCTGGAGCCACACAAGACTTTTCCACAAGAGTGTCCCGCAAGAGTGGCCGACAAGAGTGTCTTACAAGAGTGTCCCACAAGAGTTTTCCGCAAGAGTGTCGGACAGGAGTGTCCGCGACAGTGTTCCACAAGAGTGTCCGACAAGAGCGCCCTATACAAGAGTGTCCTAAACAAGAGTGTCCCACAAAATTTTCCACAACCGCAGTACTTTGTGCATGTGTAGGCATGCAAATTTTCGAGGGATTGGTGAGGTTGCGAGTGGTGGTGGAGGTGAATGTCGCTGTGACATTGGGATTGGTGTGTGAGCAGGTGTTGCTTGGAGGGGGTGGAGTCGCGAAACTGCTTGACAGGGCTGCTTGATGTGTGTGCTCCGATGGGGTTTCCCGCTTGATTTTTGGAGGAAGTCTCGCGCGAAACGCTCGCTTTCGAGACTTGACGTGTGAATTTTGGAGGACGTTTCGTACGCTCGTTGGCAGACCTGTATTGTGAGTTTTTCAGGAAGTCGCGTACGAAACGCTCGTTTTGCAGACTTGAAGCGTACAGTAAGTTTTTGAGGAAGTCTCGTGCGAAACGCTCGTTGGGGAGACTTGACGCGTGAATTTTGGAGGAGGTCTCGTACGAAACGCTCGTTGGCAGACTTGAAGTGTCAGTCTTGAGGAAATCTGGTACGAAGCGCTAGTTTGGGGAGACTTTAGTAGTAGTTGCCCCGCAAGTTTCCCGCAAGAGTGTCCCAAAAGAGTGTCCTCCAGAGTCCTGCCAGAGTCTCCTACAAGAGTGTCCCACAAGCGTGTTCCATGAGTGTCCGAAAGGTGTGTCCTACAAGAGTGCCCCAAAAGAGTGTCCCACAAGAGTCGCCTACAAGAGTGTCCGACAAGAGTGTCCTACGGAGTGCCCTACAAGAGTGTCCCACAAAAGTGTCCTACAAGAGTGTCCGGCAAGAGTGTCCCACAAGACTGTTCCACAAGAGTGTCCCGCAAGACTGTCTTACAACAGTGTCCCACAAAAGTTGTCCACAAAAGCGTCGGCCAAGAGTGTCCTACAAGAGTGCCCCACAAGGGTTTCCACAAGAGTCTCCTACAAGAGTGTCCCGCGAGAGTGGCTGACAAGAGTGTCCTACAAGAGAGTCCCACAAGAGTGTCCTACAAGAGTATCCCACAATTAAGACTTTTCCACAAGGTCTTTTCACGAGAGTGCTCGACAACAGTGGCCGACAAGAGTGTCCCACAAGAGATTCCTACAAGGGTGTCCCACAAGAGTGCCCTATAGAAGTGTCCTACAAGAGTGTCACACAACAGTGTCCCGCTAGAATGTCCGACAAGAGTGTCTTACAAGAGTCACAAGAGTGTCATACATACAAGAGTGTCCCGCAAGAGTGTCCCACAAAAGTGTCGCTCAGAAGTGGCAAGTTGTAGCACATATGCAACGTGGGAAGCAGCTCCTGGGAGCTAGGACAGGCCACTTGGTAGTACAAGTGTAGTACGGGAAGCGGCTTCTGCAGTCCGTGGCAATTTTAGCTGTGGCCTCAGATCAACTTATGTGGCCAAATTACATCTGAGTACGCGAGTTGTACGTGAGTGTCCCACAATTGTGTCCCGCAAGAGTGTCCGACAAGAGTGTCCTACAAGAGTGTTTTACAAGAGTGTCCCGCAAGAATGCCCCACGAGAGTGTGCTGCAACAGTGCCCCACAAAGTGACGAAAGTGTCGCACGAGAGTGTCCCACAAGAGCGTTGTACAATTATAAGAGTGTCTCCTACAAGAGGGTGAAAGAATGTTTGGGCGTTTGTTTTCCAGTGATGTGGATCTGCCGGAATCTTTATGCCATTGCCTGGTTTGAATGCGGAACGAAGACTGCTGAATGCTCTACATGTAGCGAGAAGGCAACTGTGCTTGGTGGTGGAGTCCCCAGCGCATGATGCCCCTTGTTTGCCTGGTCATGTGGCTGACGGAATCTCGACGTTAGCGAGCTGGACCAGAAAAAAAGTGACTGGAATATGTCTATTGTGCATGCACTCGGTTTGGACATATGTAGTTGCGCTTGCATTCGGGTTGGTGGGTTCCATCTTGTTTTTTTGGCTTCACTCCTGGTCCAGCTAATATATATAGTCACAACAAAACCTCATCGCCGATCACCCGCACGGCTGGTCTTTCCAAAGACACTCACCAGTGGACTCACCTTAGCCTCTTAGCCTCTTGTACTTTTACGGTTCCTTGGTGTTTTTAGGATTTTGTCTCGCCATGGGACATGGCAGACATGGGACAGTGATGGCAACTTGAAGAAGCGACGGCAGAGTGTCCTCCCGGCAGCCAAGGTGGCTGTCTCCTGCAAAGTGTCCAATGGCAAAAGAAAGGAAAGCGGACACAAGTACCACAGTAGTACACATCTCTTCAAAGTCCATTCCTTTTGTGCTATTCACAGGAAAAGGGGTTAAGATCTTCATCCCAAATCTATCCCATTGCCGATTGCCGCCGATTTGCCGTGTGGCATCGCACGCGGCTTGCCCAGTACATTGTCCGGCAGTACATGTCGGAGACCGTCTACGGCCATGACCAGCTCTCACAGTTGATCTTCTTCAGGCGGCCCTGCCGCCTTCGGACTGGGGGATGCGATGTGGAAAAACCCTTGAGAGTCACAGACTATAACAAAGAAGCGTCGGACTGGGGGACCTGAAAGGGAACTTTCTTTGCTGACCCGAGCAAGATTCCATAGATATTAGATGATCAATGATCATGATAATTTTCATAGTTTTTGGACTTCGGGTCCAAAAAAGGGTACCCTATCAGGTGGCAAAAGTTTGTGCGACGACCTGCAGGGCGAAGTCACCAAGCCTTACTTTCATTGCTTGATTCCCAGAAATTGAGTCGTGCCCAAGCAGCCAAGCATCTTGAGGTGTCTCTTTCTCATGATTCACATGTTTCATGCCAGTAGGTCGCTGGCCATTCGCTGGCAAAAAATCCGCAAGAATGATGCACCAGTCACGACCAGGACGAGCATTGCACATCAAGTGAAGTATGCCGACATGGTCACAGGCGGCAGTGCCGGCGGAGGGGTTGAGGGCCGGAGCCAAAAAGGGAGGAACCGGAGCGTGGTCCCCCACCCATAGATGTGGTAGCAAGAGGTACAAGGAAGCCGGTATGAAACAATCTCAAGCACACGGCTAGGTGTGTAGTCAAATTGTGTGTTGGCATTCGCTGATTCGAGCGCTAAGAAGACCTAAATGTTGTGGGTGGCCCATTTCGATTTCGTTTGCGCAACCCGGGCGTTTTTGGTGTGAAGCTCGAAGAGTCAAGTCATCCCCTCTGTTGGACCCTTGGGAAGAGGACTTTTTCCCCAACCAAACCCAACGCGGCGTGAACGCTGCAGTGCAGTTGGTCAGCAATAACTCCTTTCCAGATGACCTGGTCATGGTTCTTTTGCTCAGCCGATTTTACATCTTCAGATTGACGTTTGATGGCTCAGTGACTTATCACAAAGGACTCTGGGATGTCTGTTTTTTAAATGTGTTGTTTTCTTAGCCGCTGTGATGTCCAAGATTCCAATATGACTCATCATGATCGCTCCCAGAGAAGAGACACTAAACTAAGTGACCCTCCTTGGAAAACATGTGGGACGTCCCCAAATGCCTTTCTCATTCGGGGTCCCCAGGATTCCGCTGCCCGGTGGCTCCTAAAGCGGGAGATCTCCCAGACTCCCAAGCCCTTACCTCCAGTCGCAGGGTTTGGAGCTCTCCAAATGGTCCCAACACACCCTGCGACTGGACCCTGCCCGGGTGGATCTCACCTCCTGTCGGTTGGGGTCTCCAAATGGATCCAAATGGTTTGACACAGATGTGCGTGTCAATCCACTCTGTGTCAGATGTCGGATCCACCCAGTGGAGTCGACGGCGCGCGGACGGCGCGCGGACGCCGCGCGCCGCCCAGGCCGCTCCCTGGCGAGGCAGGTCTGTGGCATGGACGAACAGCTGCCGTGGGCCAGTACGCAGTATTCGGCCGCTCGGATTCTGACCGGGAAAGACGGAGTTGGGCCTCCAAATAGACTGTGTTTTTCTCACTAGACTGGAATTTAAGTCCCAAACAACAAAATAAACAAGGAGTATCATGGCGGGGGTCACTCGAAGTAAAATATATGATGTCAGTCCCTTGGGTTTGTCCCAGTACATGTGTAACAATCGGTCAAAAAGATCGTTTCGCATCACGATTTTAGAAATGGATGTCGGCCTGCGCCCCATCATCATCCGCTGGGCCCATCTGAAGATGAAATAGACATCATGTTCCCTAAAAGCTGCTCTCAAAGCGGGAACGATTTTTCCCAAGTCCTTGCCGCAAAGGAGGTAAGTCATGCTAGCCTTTCTTCGTCTGGACACGAGCCTGTTTCAACGTGAGTCTGTTGACACGAGTCTCACCGTCTGCCGTTATGAGCAGGGCACTCTACAAAATCGGACAGATCGTTCCTCCCTTTTAGATGGGCATCAAACCCGGCAAACTTACACTCTGACTATGAGTCTGGCACCCTTTTGGGTCCGATGGTGTTTCCTCTACTGACATGGTGTACTCAGGGTTGGGATCGTCCAGGAGGTACAGAATCCAATGGATGCAATTGGTTCGGAAGGAAGCTCACTTGGTGGGACCCCAGTAACTGGAAGCCCGTCACTGGCGGCGTCACTCGTTGGTCACGTGCCACTCGTGACCAAGAGCCAACGGAATCCAAGCCCGGCAAGCCCGGCAAGTTTTGGTGGCAGAATCAAAGGCACTCGGTTCAGGGGAGCAGATGTGGGCAGAAGCCTTGACAGACCATCCAACTGACTGACTGACTCACACTCCGACTGACGTGACATGGAAGTGGACGGACTGGGCTGGACTCGACTTGATGTCCGTCTCCTTTTTTCAAACAGTTTTATTTTGACTTCCATGTTGGTGAGTCGGAGGGTATGTTTGCCATACGGGCCACTTGGTGACCACATGTTTGTTGGGTGTCATGTTGCTGGACGTCATGTTGTGGCACCGGTGACTGCATCTCCTTTGCAGCTCCCAGATGCATCGTACATTGCTGAGTGTCCTTGGAGCGTAGACGTTCAAGAATTATATAGAAGAAAGTCAGCTTGACATTGGCTTCAATTCTATCAGCTGAGCTTTTCCATCCCATGGTTTTGCGCCGGATCATGTCAGCACAACGCATCCCACAGCTGAGGCTGTTGAAGATCTCCAGAACTATGCGCAGACGGGGCTTTGGTCGCTTGCTTGACCTTTCGCTTCAATTCGCAAACGGTGCAGCGCTTGCCCCCACTGTCACCGCCCGCCATCAGCCATCTTGAATCTTTGTTTGTTTTTGGTCGTGCGTTCCCAACAAAAGTGAGAATGGGCAGCAGTTGTCCAACTGAGTAGGATTTTTAGGCTTTGTAAGTCCTAGGGATGCCCAGCGTGTCTCCAAGTATCAATCAGCTTTCCCCAAGTGTCCTTTGACTGCGGTTCCCCCCAGAACAAGCTGTAGGATGTTCTTTCGGGTTGGCTGTCACACCCAGTGGTGGGCGGGTGTTGGTCGCGATCCGACCGCAGACACGAAGGCGGATCGACCCGCCGGTTTTGGGTGGATCGGTGGATGAGACATGAACCGTGTCGCCTCGGTGGGAGACGGAAGACACCGAGGTGGGGTGGTGTTGGGGGTCATCTGAGCTTCGAAACTCGTGTTTCACCAAGTCGAAGGGGAAGAGATGCAGGGCGGGCCCATCCTTGATGGAAAGGGGCCCATCCTTGATGGAAATGAGCGTATTCTGTGAGCGGCATCGTTGTGGGTCGTTCCTTTCATTCTGGACCTGTCCGCGGGGTCCGTGAACTCGGCGACCTGTCCACGACCTGGGGGGAGAGAGTAGATGCTCCATGGCTACGACCCCAGGTCAACCCCCAATGTAAATATGTGTTCCTGGAACCCAATTGACCCCGGTTTTGATAGGAAAAGGCCATACTTTGGGTGGTTGGTGGTCCAAAATAGAGGTCTTTCAGGTTCTAGGTTTATGTATACATATTCCATCCATGGCGCGTCTGGGGGATGGGGAGATTAAACATCGACATCGTCCCGTTTGGAGTCCGAGGCGGAGTCCGTTCGGTTCTCGAGTGGTCGACACTCTCATTGTCCATGTAACCAATGAGTCCTCCCCCCAACTGGCGTCATACTTGCTGGCACTTCTATATAGGGATCCAGTCCTACCGAACCTCAGGTACGGTGGGACTGGGCTGCCAGTGTCGGCTCCAGTCGTACCGAAAACATGAGGTTCGGTACGAAAACGGATCCCTAGGGGATTCCCCCCCTTTCGAAAGGAAGCACGTCGTTGATCCTCAGGTCCCAAGGGTCCAAGAAGGTTCGTTCAGCTTCGTCCAGTTTTCTTGTGGGTGTGTGCAACCAAACCATCCCAAAAACGCCGCCTGATCTGGTCCTCCTGTTTCCAAAAAAAAAACATCAACAAAAACTACGAACAACCAAACACCTGTTGCCCATCCTGCACCTGGTGTTGTCCATCGTCCTGTGCTTCAGGTTGGCCTTGCTGGCCATCGGCTGTTGGTTGGCCACCACCTTGCGGGACCGACCGAACCGGCGGGGGGAAGCGGCCACCGGTTGGTCGAAGGGCAGGACACCTGGAAGGATGGAAGCACATGGAAAAGAACATGAAAGAAAACATGAAAGACTCCACCCTAGAAAGAAGGCCCTCTGGTTCTTTTGGGGGGGTAAGACTGGTAAGACTGTCAGATTTGCTTCTCTTTAGTGGTTCACGAGGGTGACTTTGCATACCGGTTCGGGGGGATCGTGGCACGTACCTTCAGCGGGAGCAGCGCAGCGTCACCACCGGGCTTTCTGGATTTGGAGCGTCCCTTTTTTGCGTCCAGAAAGAAGTGGCTGCCTTGGAATGGATATGTTTCCAGGCTGTTGAAGGGACACAGGCAGCAGGTTTGGTCTCCCGAAACCTTAGGTTTGGATTCAGCACATGAAACTAAAGCCTTGCAGCATGTCCACCAGTAGAGTCGATGTGAGTCTTCCCCATATGGTTGTGAATCATGGCACCTGGGTTGCTCGGAACTCACCCTGGTGGGTTCCACCATGTCTGGGGGCGTCGCGTCGCCCTTCTGTTCAAATCACCTGGTGCTGGTGCACCCACGGCCATATGTGTCTCCTCGTTTTTGGGTCCTGCTTGATTCCATGACAGAGGCATGACCCAGACTCGTGCACAGGTGTTCTGGGGGCGTTCCCATCGCACTACATGGGCCACCAGGCAGTAGTCCTTCCAGTGCAAGTGTGGTGACCCCCAAACAGATAGAACTGTGATAGAACATGATAGAACATGAACCTCCTGACAACATGACAACTCTCGTCGGAAGATGTTGTTTCTTTGAAGACCACTGGTCGTTAGACCAGCTGAGTAGATAGATCATATGCCTCCAAAGATGAATCAAATTGGGTTTCGCACAAGCGGAACATTAGCCCAGCTGGAGACCCCAATAGCAAGATACAAACCGGGACAAAAAGAAAAATCTGGAAACAGCTGCTGTTTTCAACACATCGACCATCTCTTCCTGGGACACCATCATCACATAACCGGGACACCATCACAAAATGACCAGGGCACCATCAAAACATGACCGAGACACCGTCACAACATG